CTGATGCATGGCACTCACTCTCGCTCTGTGTGGGTGTGTGTGTGTGTGTGTGCGGGTGGAGGGGGGGTGGGTGTGTGTGTGTGTGTTGATGTACACAGCACATCAGTTTATTTAACAGATCATGTCCTCCAAGACTGTCCCAAATACAACATATCAAGGCAAAACTTTTGGCCAAGAGAAACATCTGTGCAAGTCAAACTTTACCGGTCGCTGAGTGAGTTACAAAAGACAGTGAAGTTCATACTAGAGACAGCACTGCAATTAAAGATACTTTATTTCAAGCGAACGAAAGAAGAAGAAGAAGTTTATTTAACGTATTGAAATTGAAATACTGTAGCCATATTAACCCTCTTAGCATGGACGGGCCGATTGTCGGCCGGCAGATGTCTGGCCAAAAACACGGAACGGCCGATCATCAGCCTGATCGTGTTTCGCCTCGACACGCTAAGAAATCTCCTATTTTGAAACACTGAAAGTGATTCTTTTATATTCACCGCTGTATTAGCTTTACACATGGCGACTTTCTAGTGTTTGGTGTCGAAGTTAAAATTGTTGTTGAATTTTTTAGATAGTGACCTGAACTGCTAAAAGTATGTCTGACTCTTATGTTTCTGCCCCTAAACTTGATGTTGATAAAACATTTGAATCAAGTAATGACACTAATTCTGTTGATACTGATGCAGGTTCTAGTGTTAGTAGTAATAGTGGGGAATCAGATGGGGACGCTGTTGTGTTCAGACCACAGCCCAACCATGGCTTAGGGTACATCTACCCAAAGATGTTGGCACTCCGGCACATCCAATTCTTGTGCTGACTGATGGTCAAAAACACACGTCACCTAAAGATATTATTGTTGTTTCATATATATATATATATATACACCTGTTTTTGACTATTGAATTGCTTACAATATTTATAAAAAGGCCAAAGATCAATAAAAAGAATTCAAATAAAATATATTTTAGTTTTATGTTTCATGCATCGAAGTTGAAAATTCACATTCTAATTTTCTATTTTTAGATATGCAAATGAGATTTTTTGCATATACATCAATTCATTTTAACAATATTGTGAAAATCCTTAACTTTAATCTATATCCTTCAAATAAATATATTATTTCATGGGTGTCAGAATAACAGAAATGTGTCAAAAAAAAAAAAATAAAAAATAAAATTATAACCAAATTTACTGAAAAAATGCTCCGTGTTTTTGGCTAGACATCTGAAAAACTTCCCGTGCTAAAAGGGTTAAACGCTGCAGTTCTGGTTATCAAAATAAAGAACAGCATGCCTCTTGTAAATACGAGGCAGGAATTGACCAACATGTAGATGGATGCATGACATTAGACATCTTCAGCATAAAAAGGCAGGGCATGGAATCTGGCCAGGAACTGTGAGTCTTTCCAGCAGGCTCTTATGGTGTGTTCCCCTGTCTCTATTTCTTTTTTCTGCTTCTTTGAATGCTGATGAAACATAAGTGCAAATAGCATGCTTCTTGTATTATAAGTCAAACAAGATGGAAAAAAACAAAACGGCCACATCACGAAGAAGAAACAGATAGAATAAAGCAGGCACTGAAATATGAAAGCAAATGGATTGTGGAAAAGAGCTCGCCAAAGAGAAACCCTAAGATAAACGATGACAGGGGACTGAATTCTACCTGTGATATCGAAAGGAGCGCACTGGATAGAATAAAATGTAAGAGTAAAACAATAACAATCAATACAGACAAAACTCTGAAGCTACAAAGAATTAACAAGGACAAAAAGATAACAATTTAAGATTAATAAATACAAGATTACCCATGCTATTATTGTCTTCAGCCATTTGCAACAAACAGAACATCAACTTTCAAGTGACAAATAATTTATACAAATAAAACAACTCTAAAACAAAATTGGAAAAAGACAATATTATCAATGGTCAAGTGACAAATAGCTAAAATAAACTTAATAATCAACGCTCAAGTCACAAATAATTCAGACAAATTTACAGACTGACAAAGAACCTACCATTGCCATTATTGTCTTCAGTCATAGGGTTGATCTCCACCATGGAGGCATCAAACTTCAGAAAGATGTCCCTTGTACATTTTGATAATGTAATCACTTGCCTGCATGAGAATTTGAAAGACCAGAAAATAACTGCCTGACTATACAATATACATATCACAGCTAATAATTCTCTTCTTCTTTATTTCTTCTTTTACAACTTCAGGGGTCGAGGGAGCTATAAGGTTCTGCTTCATGCTCTTCTAGCCACCTGGAACATAGAGACATCATGCTGTTGTAGAGTTCCTCTGATGTAATTTCTTTTGGTGTATGCCTTGAAGACAATGTAGAGATAATATCCAGACAGACCTGCAAACACTTGGTGTTACCAACTGGAAAGAGAAGGCCAATCAGAGAGATAAATGGAGGCAGGTGATATCTGCAGCAATGAACATTGAGGGCTCGGAATGCTGAAGAAGTATGCCTTGTATGGTATGGCATCACAAGGCATTCTCCCCAAGTGAGCAAACAATTTGGTTCACTGTATTTGTGTTTAAGAATTGATTCTGTGTGTCACAAACCTCTGGTATGACCTTGCCGGTCCGTGGCTCGTTAACTAGGCCTATGACAGACAGCCTAACCTACAACACACACTGAACCCGAACGCACACAGAGCACACACGACAATCTTTATTGGAAGTACAGGTAATACATAGACAGTTGACTTCCCGCCGTGTGGCCACCTATTGCCTGGACCCTCTGGCTGGACGGGCTTTACAATCGCCCCGTCCCCAGTACGTGCGACAGGCAATACTCTGGTGTA